GCTCTCTTGTGAATTTTCGTTATAGTTAGCCGTTTTTGAGGATATTTCTATTTTAAGGTTCGATGCATTTTTAATTATTCATGATAAAATAACGTTAAAAAGTCAGTATCTCGATAATTTTTAGAAGTAGGCTGTGCGTGCAAATATCTTTGAAATTGAAAGCAGAATAAGGTTAAACGTCAATTAGTTGACAGTTAGTTTTGTTGTCTGTTGAAACTTGAAACGTTTTTTTGCAATTGTGAATGCACGAAATTTAGTTTCTTTTACCTGTTTTTTTTTGTAAGTTTTATAAAATGCCATTATGGCTTTGTAAATGGAAACGCAGCAGAAGCAGCCAGAGAATACGCACGAAGATTTCCAAACAAACGAAATCCAACTCGCTCAGTATTTGTAAGAGTGCATCGCCAAATAATTGAAAATGGTTTTGGAAATCTCCAAAGGGATCAAAACATAAATGTTCGTCAGCGCAGATTTACCCGTATGATTCTGCGTGAGTTTGATAGAGATCCGACCACAAGTGTTAGGAGAGTTTCTGGTGCCTTGGGAATTTCAGCAAGCCATGTTCTCCGCGTTCTTAGAAATGACCATAGACGTCCTTACCATTTGCAACCTGTGCAAGGACTACAGCCAGGGGACGGAGAACGAAGAATCACATTTTGTCAGTGGATTCTTGATAGAACTGATAATAATAGGGAGTTTTTAAGTAACGTTTAATGGACCGATGAGTCATGCTTCACTAGACGTGGAGTGGTAAATTTTCATAATCAACATATTTGGTCGCATGAAAATCCGCATGCAGTTCGGGAAAGAAATTTTCAGCATGAATTTAGTGTGAACGTGTGGATTGGTATCTACCGTAATCGACTAAATGCTGTGACCTTCTTGGAATTTTTAAAGGCTGAACATGCAAATATGTGGGATGATGTTATGTTAGATTTAAGAAGATTGGCCTGGTTCCAGCTTGATGATCGTCCAGCTCATTATTCGAGAATAGTTAGAAACTGGCTGGACGAAAATTATCCAGAAAAATGGATCGGCCGTGGAGGACCAGTCGCCTGGCCTCCACGATCCCCTGACCTAAATCCATTAGATTTCTTTGTGTGGGGATTTCTAAAAGAAAAAGTGTACCAGTGTACCAGACTCCCGTAACCACAAGAGATACGCTAATAGACAGAATCAAGAATGCATGTGATGAAATAAGGCCTTATTTGAATAATGCTATACCACGTTCGATCATTAGTAGATGTGAATTGTGTATTGAACAATTGGGTTTACATTTCGAGCAACTACTTTAGATTTTGTATGTTTGTCCTAACTATCCAATAGCATTTTAGTTGTAAATAATTAATTTAATTTGTTAAAAAAAATATTCTGTTTTTTGTGTTTATTTGGAGTTAAGAATTATTGCAATCTAAACGATCATCTTAATTACTTGTAATGCCCAAATCGAAAATGTAAAAAAAATATTATTTTCCCATAAATAATTAAAAATGCATCGAACCTTAAGAATCGAAATATCTCAAAATTGGCTAACTATAACGAAAACTCACACGAGAGCTTTTTTATGCAGAAAAGTGCGAAGAATCAGTTTTTTTATTCAAAAAGCAAACAGTTGCATTAAGAAAACTTTTTCGGTCATTTTAATACACTCCAGGTACAGTAGAGAGCGCCCTCTAGCGGCTACAGTAAAACTATGAACATGGTTCGTTTTGTCGTACCAAAAAACCCTTGTACCAATTTTCACTGTTATGCATCAAATATTGTTCGAAATATTAAAAAAAAAACTATTTTAGAAAGTAAATTAACCATCCCGTATTTCGGAAGCCACGCATTTTTCGACCCATGTTTATGTAGACTTTATGCATTAATTTTAAAAGTTCTATCGAATCTTAAAGTTATGCAACAATAAACTGAAACACCCTGAATACTACCGCCAAATAACTTAATTAGTTAAAATTGAGGAATTTACGAAAAACCTTTTTTTTAAATTTTAATACCCTGTATCTTGAGAACAAAGAATCTGCAGACCTATGTTCATATAAACCTTTTTTCTTAAAATTGCTCAAAGGATCGTCCGTTAAATGTAATGTAATCAACAACGAATCTTAAAGTTATGCAACAATAAACTGAAACACCCTGTATATAAAATTGAAATCATATTTGAAAAAAGAAATTAAATCTGTTATTTACAGACCTCGTATATCTACAACGATTGAAACGCTGCCACTGACTCGGGTCCCGATGCCTCGCGACGCGTCTCGCGGCTCCAAGATTCCGATTTGTGCATTTTCGTGCTTGCTCGTATTTTCGGTGTATTCGGGTTATTTCGGTCGGGCCCCAGCAAAAGGCACCGTCTGCGTTAGCGCGTACAGGATGTAAACGAATCGCCGGGATTCGTGAAACGACCTACAGCTCGTTTCCCGTTGAAGACGGCTATGTATAGGCAGTTGACATATTAGCACTTCCTGGTTGAAAAATCAGTTTTGAACATTTGTAGAACGTACGGAGGATTTTTATAAATACAAGATGATGAACTTGTTAATGCAATATCGCTGGTCAATGCGAAAACCTCACGTTCAATCATCGGCAAAGCAATTATCCGGTGGGAAAGTTCACTTTTTGATTTAAGAAACAAAATACAAACGTAATGAAAAGAAAATATTTATTACTATCAACATATCCGTAAATTCGGCGGGTTTTATCTCTTGAATATCAAACCGTTCAAATGTTTGACATCGCTTCGGACCCGCTCTTTTAATCGCGCGCGCAAAGTCTGAATCACTCAGGCGCGGATCCAGGGGGGTCATGATTCTCCTCTTTCTGATAATGGGAAAACCAGGATTTTCCCATTCCATCTCTTCCCATTTACTCTTAGCCTTCAGAATAAAATTATCGTATGTGCTTTCGCTCCTCAAATCTTTTAATTTTCTTAATGCTACTGAAATGCACCTTTGAGCCATCATCAAGTCTATTTCTTTCTTTCGCATTTGAACCTGCACAGTATTCATTACGCTCAATACATAACAAGTTGAGGAAAAAGGTCCAGTTCATGGAGGAAAGCAGAGATCTTGCATTCATTATATGTTCGCCAGAAGCTCCCACTCTTGAAATTTCTTCTTCCATGCAATTGAGAATATATTAAAAAAAATTCTGCTACGATATTATCACCAAGGAAATAGATATGTCATCAAATAAAAAAATCCTCAGTATTGTGAAAGTTTATGGTTATAAGCATTGAACACGTGAAAGGACTGTAATAGACGCAATAGAGTCTTTATTAGATAGATAGATAGATACATTTATTGTCTTGTAGATCATAAAAAATGACATGAGACTCGTCCTAAGAGGGAGGTACATAGCACACATAATTAAAAATAAAAACGAAACAACATAAGTATTTACAAAGTACAAACAGGGACAACTTAAGGCGTACAGACATTCACATATAAAAAAAGTTTACAAAAATTAGACTGAAAGAGGCTGATTCATACCACGAAAATATTTATTTACTGAACATTATATGCCAGGTAATAATACAGGGTGGCGCATCGAAAACGAAACAGACGCATTTACTGGCAGCAGAATTTACTTGATAAGTAAATGCTTTTTTTCACTACGCCAATGGTTTGTTTATCATTTTATTGTTGAAAATAGCTATTGGAGCGTTTTTTTGTGGCCAAAAAGTTATGTCATGAAGAAAGATAAGGAAATATCTCGTACTTATTTTAAATAGGAATTTTGTACATAGTTTGCGATTGTTTTGACCAAACTTTGTTGCTAAAACAACTTGTAACGCTTTATTACATAAATTAACCATGGTATATTCCACAGCAGAAAGAGTTGAAATATTTTTCGGAAATAATCAGTGCGCTAATAGAACAGCAGAAATATTTAATGAGCGACATGAGAACAGTAACGTGCATCGAAAATATGTTCTAGAACTTGTAGCTAAATTTCGGGAAAATGGGTTAGTCGCCAATAAAAAACGCAACATTCAAAATCCCATAAGGAACGAAGCAATAGAAGTGGGGGTTTTAGGGCAAGTTTATGTAGATCCTACGTTAAGTACCCGCAAATTGGAGACTGTATGTGGTGTCAGTCGACGTACTGTCCAACGGATTCTAAAGGCCCATAGTTTTCATCCGTATAAAATTCACCTGGTACCAGAACTTAATGAAGACGATTTTGATCGGCGATTACAATTTTGTGAAGATATATATATGAATTATAAACGATGAACATTTTCTATTCAACACTAGCTTTTCCGACGAATGTTCCTTATTCTTAAATAGCCTAGTAAATCGTCATAACTGCCGATATTGGTCCGATTCTAATCCCAGGATTTATCATGAAGTTCATACACAGCAGCCACAAAAATTAAATGTTTGGGCTGGTATTTTTGACGATCATTTCAGTTCATTGATTTTCAAAGTGGTCTATATCGATTCCTAGGGGTCTATGACAACCTGCAAGGGGTCAAACAGATAGTATATCATACAAATTATAGTGAGTCAGTGTTATTTGTTTGAGAGTGCTGGAGAAAAGTAAGTACATTATTTTTTATTAAATTTTAGTTTTGTACTCGTAGTTAGCAAAGATAGATAAATTACGCCAATCATGACTTTAGTTATTAGTAGTTAAATATTCAATCATGCAAAATTATACGAGTACTCCTCAATAGTTTCTTTTTGAAAGTTTTAGTAATCGGTAATATAATTACAGTGCAATCTCCGTAATTCGAGCTAATTGTTGCAAGAAGATGTTGAATTATGCAATGTTTTCGGAAAAATCAAAAAATATTTTTAATATACAGCTGCTGGATTTTCTGTCTTATTTAAATAATTTAATTTTGCCCACAGATGACTGATGCCATGTCCGAATCTAAAAAGAAATGTAGACAGTACAGTGTTGATTATTTGAAATTTGGCTTCATTCCATCATTGCCGGACAAGCAATCGCCTATGTGCCTTTTATGCAACAAAGTTTTGGGCAATGACGCTATGAAACCATCTAAACTGCAAGATCATCTGAGAAGATGCCACCCTGATAAAACAGAGAAAGATTTGAAATACTTACAAACACTCAAAGATAAATTTCAGAAGAGACCTACACTGGACAGAATGTTCGCTTCGACGTCACAAAGAAATGATGATGGTTTGCGGGCGTCTTACAATATCTCGTTACTTATAGCAAAATCCGGAAAACCGCATACTATCGGAGAGAAGTTAATTTTGCCAGCCGTTGAAGAGGTTTTAAAAACTGTATTACACAAACCTGCATCTGATATCATTAAAAGAATTCCCTTAAGCAACAATACTGTTGAAAGACGTATTGATGAAATGAGTTCTGATATTGAAAGCTTCTTATGTAATTATTTCTCTATACAACTGGACGAGTCAACTTTACCTGATAATGCAGCATTATTATTGGCACATGTTCGTTTTATTATGAATCAAGAAATCTACGAAGAACTGCTCTTCGCAAGAACTTTGATAACCGACACGAAAGGTGAATCAATATTTCATGTTTTGAAGGATTACTTCATTGAAAAAGCAATTCCTTTATCAAATATAATATCAGTAGCCACAGATGGAGCACCTGTCATGGTTGGACGTTATCGTGGATTTATAAGCTATTTAAAACAAAATGTGTCAGGGGTGTTAGCAATACATTGCGTCATCCATCGACAACATTTAGTTGCTAAAAATTTGAGTGTTAGATTGCATGAATCACTTCATTTAGTCATTGATGCAGTAAACCGAATCCGAAGCAACGCGTTGAATACGCGGTTATTTGCGCAGTTGTGTAAAGAAAATGACGAACACTTCCATCAATTACTCCTTCACACGGAAGTACGCTGGCTGTCGAAAGGCTTATGATTGACAAGATCTTTTGCACTTTTTGAGACTATTTTAGCATTTCTGGATACTAAAGATAAAATTTTAAAAGAAAATTTAATGAAGACTTTAAATTTGATTAAAACAAAGTCCATCTTATCAGCGTTTCTTGCCAGAGTTAAACTAATGAAGCAAAATATTGGACAGGGGCGAATTTTCTCAGTTCCCCAATTTGTCACAGACAAGCTGCCAGGAAGACGACGTTTCAACTTACGTTCAACATTTAAATGCCCTCTATTCAGATTTTGAATCTAGGTTTGAGGATATTTTGACTATGGTAATACCACCGTGGATAATTAATCCATATGGTGACATAGAAGAAACGAATGCGATAATACAAGAGGAACTGACTGAACTAAGTACAAACGAAGAACTTAAGGTTCAGTTTAAAAACGGATATCAGCAATTCTGGCTGCAAAACAAAATACCCGTTACTTATCCCGTATTATGGAATATAGCGAGGAAATTTTTAATTTCCTTTCCATCGTCATACCTAGTGGAAAGGGGGTTCAGCGCTGTTACCAATCTCCTAACGAAAAAAAGAAACAGACTGGACATCATTAGCCGAGGAGATTTAAGATTAACCCTTACAAAATTGACGCCAAATGATAATTTATTATTAAAGCATCAGGTTCATCCTTCTCACTAAATATATTGACTTATTGCTTATGTTATTTTATTTATAGTTTATTTTATGTTTATTGGGAATAAGTGCCCGCATTGATTTTTTTAAAGAACCCCCCCTTTATAGAAAATATTTTTTTTTTAATTATTCTGAAAATTCAAGGATAGGTACACTAAAATTCATTAATTTTTTGCCTATTTTAGATAACTTAAACGTATAAGAAGCGGAATTTAATCAAACTAACAGCGAAATTATTGTAGAACATACGTTTATGTTATAATTAATAAACGAACTCGCTTATTGTAACGTGATTTTTTGCCAAACTTGTGTCCCTCTCGAAAACAAAATCGACGGGTCTGAGCGTTTTTCCAAAAAAAAACTGAGCTGCCAGTAAATGCGTCTGTTTCGTTTTCGATGCGCCACCCTGTATATTACTGTAAGCATAAAATAACCCCTCCGCTCTTTGAGAAATAAAAGGGTAATTCGGTATTTCTTTTAGAAATGAAATAGTCATTTTTCAAAAAATTTCTTAAGAAATGAAAGGGAAATTCACTTATTCAAACTGAATGCTAACGCGCTGTTTCATAAACATTACGCAGATGGTCATTAAAAAAATGTAACAAAACTCTGATTTCTTGTTATCAATTTTACATTCAGACGCGCTGAATAATATAGACGAGAAGTGCATCTTCCAAGTTTTTCGACCAGTGTGTCTACTTTTTGTTTCTTCGCAAGCATTTACTATCTTATTTCTTAATTTTTCTACTGTTTCTATGAGAGTAGCCTAAGCCACCGTCTTAAGGTGTCCAAATAAATAAAAATGTATTGGATTCAAGTGAATTGGTCCTCCTCTTACAACCCAATTTTCACCAAACGTGTTATTAAAAGCTATTCGGTTGCGTACATTTACAGACACTTCTTCTAGCAGTACGGGCAATTCTTGCTGAAGAAACTCCAAGTAAGATTCGTCGTTTTATCGCGAGGGTAAAAAGAAAAATCGTCACCAGCAATACCCATCCACACATTCAAAGAAAATTGTTCCTGGTGGCGACATTGTACCTGAGCATCGTCTGCTGCTCGTTGGGTTCACCTGCGGGCGTGCCGCACTCGATAAGTGTCCTACCGTTACTGCCGCGCTGTCACATAGCGCGTTCAGGTATGAGGAAGTTGCGACGTTGCCAGGTGGACCGTTAGGGCAACGAAAGAATTTCTTTCTCAGAGGGTAGAACTTGTGTTGAATGCGAAATTTAGAGTTAATCTACTTGATGCGATTTTTTCATTACCTAACGCGCTGTCTGCTTTTCAATCAACCTGACAACGCTCTGCAGCAGCTTTATTCCTAGCAATGCCTACGTCGGGACCCGTTTTCAAAAATAGCTTTATGTAACACATTTAGATGTGAAATGGCGAATAGCAGGCAGCCTTGTTACGGTACAAACAGCAGATGTATTTTTATTTGCCAGTTTATACACCATTGCCTGGGTAGGCAGCAATCGGGTAGGTAGACAGGTAGATTTCATTTCTCCTTTTCAAATGTTATTAGAGTAATGACCCCTTTAAAATGCTAATTTTGACCAGGCGGAACCGTCGAAAAGGTGTGAAGATTCTTATTGGAATTTGATAGTTTTTTTCAGACGAATATCACCAGGAAACAACACTAAGATTCCACGACCTGTGTTGGGGGTTACAAAGGGTGTTCGAGAAATAGACGGAGGGTGATTATTTGTTAAAAAAATATGAGAAAAAGTTTCTATAAGCAGGTTGATAAATTAAAAAAGATATTAATATACTAAGTGACATATAAATCCGAACACCCAGTTTAAATGGTTTTATTTTAATAAAATTTTGTATAAGTACTTAATGAAGCATAATAAGTAAATGATAAAAATTTCAAAATGATTGCACTGCTTTAAAGCCCTTTGACCTTTAATAATGTGTGGATGCACCCTGATGTGCTACGCATTCTCCAACGCGCCTAGGCATGCTTCTGATCAGGTGGTCAATGTCCTCCTGTGGTATCTCATTCCAGCCAACCACCAACTCCTCTCGAAGTGCTTCTAGAGTCTGAGGAGGACGTTGCAAATTGAGCAATCTCCTACCCATCATATCCCACACGTGCTCAATTGGCGATAAGTTGGGAGATCTTGGTGGCCATGGTCACAATGTGACATCATTATGTTGAAAGAAGTCTATTGTGACTCTTGCAACATGTGGTCGGGCATTATCTTGTTGGAAAGTTGGATCTGCCAGGGTGTCAAGATCGGGTAAAAGATGGGGTTCTAGAACTTCGTGGATATAACGCTGCGCGTTCATGTTACCTCTGATGAAGATTAAAGGTGACCTGGAACCATAAGCTATAGCACCCCAAACCATAACTCCAACAGTGTGATGAACATTTCTTTCAACAAAAAACTGTGGATTCCTCCTTTCACCACGTCGCCTTCTAACCCTGGCACGACCATCGTGCATGCCTAAACAAAATCGAGACTCGTCACTAAAGACAATACTGTTCCATTCCTGATCCCAGAGTGACCGTTGTCTGCACCACTCAAGGCGATTACGTCGGTGTTCTCGAGTTAAAGGGAGGACCCAGTGTGGCCGGTATGAAAACAAGCCAAAACTTCTCATTCGTCGGTAAACACTTCGCATGCCAATAGGTCTTCCGTGTTCTGCAAACCATTCATTTGCAATGGACCTGGTAGTGGAGAAACGGTCAATTAAGGCCAATAATCTTAGGCGGCGATCTTCACGGTCTGTTGTTCTACGGCGGCGTCCAGTGCCCCTTGCTCTTTGCGTACGGCCTTCTCGAAGCCATGCCTGACATCACCTAACCACAGTGTCACTTCTTTGCACTCTAACTGCAATTGCCCGAAAAGAAAGCCCAGCTTCCCGAAGTCCCACTATACGGCCCCTATCAAACTCACTAAGTTGACGAAATCGTACAGGTCTCCGTACTCTAGGCATCGTAACCGATCGTAAAGGATGTCAAGAACCAAAATCCGCCAACGTTGATTCTTTACTGCGGCTCATTTTTAGAGCGTTAGTGAATTAAAAAAAGCAGTATAAAAACCGGAATGTCCAACTGATAAGGCTGAAAATGTTTTCACTTGTTATTTACAGTAAGATAAATACATTCACCAACTTTTATTAAAATAAAACCATTTAAACTGGGTGTTCGGATTTATATGTCACTTAGTATAGAAAGGGATTATTCACGCAATTTTCTTTGCGAAATTTCTCTAAAAAGCTTTTGTCTCGGTTTTTGTGACGGGAAATCACACTTTTGAGTGAATGGCAGAGATGCATGTAATGCACCCATCGCTAACTTCCAGATAGTAAAACCTTTGAAATCCGTGGCAGGTTCTCTTCGAGCAAATTTTGTATTCCTCGCGCAATGACAGAGAAACATCTCAGAAGCCGTATCAATTTAGTTCTAAATTAGCTCTTTAATCTTATAAATACCACCGACAAAATACAACAAAAATTAGATAGAGGATTTCAACAAAAAGATACGAAAAACCATTTTTTATTAAATTTTAACACCCTGTATCCTGAGAACCAAGAATTTGCAGACCTATGAACTTTTTGTCTCAAGATTTCTCAGAGAATCGTCTGTTAAATTTATGATACATACTCAATTAACACCCTGTACATGTATAAAAAACTTTTTTAATAAATGCATTACTACTACTATATGAGAGTGTGGACTGTCATGCATTTTTTTATCGTTTTTTTAAGTTACAAGCCTTTATCTCGTCTTTAAGTCAAATGGAAAATTTGTGCAGAACGGACCGAACACACATCCAACTTGCCGCAATTTTCAGAGATAATAAAAACACTGCAAATGAGTGCAATCTAAAAGCCGTTTCGTGTATTTTTCTTGTACGCAAAATTGTTGTTTGTGATGCTGGCAAATAAATGAAATAGCTAGTATAAAAAAATTCAGTCGTACTTTTACACCGGGGTTCCCAATTTGAATGCTTATC